CTGGTGCCGGCCCCGCGGGCCCGGAGCCTCGGCGGAGGCGGGATGGGCTCTCCCGGGAGGAGGCGGCGGGGGGGGAAACTCGCCGCGGGCACGTGTGTGCGTGGGGCGGTTTGCAGCGCGGTGATGTGCCTCCTTCAGCGACGGAGTCCCCCCGGTGTAGGGGGGGCTGTTACGGTCTAGAGCGGGCTTCTGCTGGTGGTTGTTGTCGGTCACCGGCGCTTTCCCCGGGTGAGAAAACCCGCGCTGGTAGAAGGGGCCGACACCGGCGGTCTGGGAGGGAGGCGGTGGGCCTGTCCCCAGTCGGGAACTGGGGCCGGTGCTCCACACCGTCCGGGTTCTCGTGCGTGCCACCGTGCCGTAGAAGCTGTCTCTTACGTGTTCCTTTTATATTTTTTTTCAGGTGCACGGATAAAGCAGCTGGTAAAGGTAAGAGCTGAATTACTTCTACTGTTGCGTTCTGTCCAGAAAGTCAGGGCTTTCCCATGAAAGTAGCCAAACATCTGCTGGATCTTCCTTTTAAAGACTGTTTTGTTGCTTGATGACACGCAGTTTCTTTCCAAGGTCTCTCTCAAGACTGTGGAACTGCGATAAGCTGCTGATGATGTTCGCACGTGCCCAAAGTAGAAAAACTTATTCTTCCAAATAACCACTAGGGTATTACTTCGCTATCAGAAGTTGAGACCACACTGCGTCACAGTTCGACAGCTCTTGTCGCACGGTGGTCCCGAGCAGCTGGCGCAACCTGGGCTCTCGTCTGTTCTGCTGCTGAAACGCGTACGGGTGTGGGTCCTCACGAGATGTGTGAAAGAGATGTGGAAATAAGAGCATTCAAATATTTACACTTGTCCTTTTCTAGCTGTAGTGGATGGTGAATTCTTTATGCGTGTGTCTTCACGGGTGGAAGAGGAAAGTTTTGAAGGGGAGAGAGTAGCTTAATGGGTCTAATCAGGAAAGCCCCGACTGTGGGGAGCTGCGACCAGGAGCTGAACTTCTGTTCTTCTAGTGCAAACTACGGGAACTCTGCCTCTGTTTAACAGCTTCTTGTACACACACAAAAAAAAAGTTAGAGGGCTTTGCTCCTTACCCAGTGATGACTTCTGAAACAGTTCCAGGTAAAAGGCTTTGTGCAGTGTTGGTTTTGATCTGGCACTGGAGAATTGTCACAGAATGAAATAGTGAGGAAAGAAGGTCAGACACCTGTGCAAATGAATTCATCTTTCTGCTGGAGCTGCTCAGTTCTTGTTTGCAGGCATTTGTCTGTTGAAGGCTGCCTTTATTTTGTAATTCTATAACTCTTTATTCCTACAAGTCTACAGCGTTATTCCATTTGGATGTTGAAATCCATCACAGTTCTAGATGGCAAGGTGTATTTCTGCAGACGAAAGCAGAATTAACCAATGTGTTTAGCACAGACCCCACTTGTGCACATTTACCTCTTACTGAGTAAAGGGTGGGCAGAGTATTGTAAAAGCTGCCGCCTTTTAGGTCAAAGCAAAGTTGCTGAAACATGTAAAAAGGCATGGCGTTGCCACTTAGTATGCATATAGTGTTAAGATTACATTTTAACGGTGATTCTCAGTGTTTTGGATACCTTTAAGGAGAAATGTTGTGCTGTGGTAGTGGTGGAAAGCAGGCAGGAGAGTCCCATTTTTACCCCAGTTTCTTGGGACATGCTTTGAAACGGCAAACATCAGTCTGAAATTTCCCAAGTTTGGTGGCTCTCTGCACTCTAGCCATCTTCGACTTGAACTTGGGGCTCTGAGAGATTCAGCTGTCCTCCAATGTGACAGTGGAAAATGTATCTATTAAATTTCTTGGACTCTCTTTATGATTAGACTTGCAGCCAAAATGGATGGCATGAACGCTTGCGTGGAAATTAACACTGAGAAGTGATGACTGCTTCTAGTCCAAAAGAAATCTGCCTGGGTGATTTGTTTGTTTGTTTCTTGTTTGTTTTTTAGTCTTTAAAAATGGCAAAGTGAGAAAGCTGCACTGCTGTGTCCCAGCTGCGTGCTGGATGAAGCCCGTGCTGCGCGCTTGTGCTTACTGGGGAAAACATGGAAACAGACTGGGTCGACTGGCTTCCTCAGGCAGATCCGCGGGAGAGAAGCTCCCCCTTTTTTGGCTGTTAGCTTAAAATGTTTGAAGAAGCCTAATCTGGTGTAAGCAAACTGCAGCTTTCCTTGCAGGGCAGGGGTTTTGGTGGCCGGGAGCCCTCTGTCATTCTGGAAGGTAAAACACTGTTCGTCGTTTCACCCCTGGTTGGAGCTGTGTAGGGGAAGAAATCCTGAGAACTGCTGAGTGGTTCTGGTGAAGGCTTTGAATTTAGTGCTGGTGTTTACTGGCGTGAGTTCTGACCTGGAATTTAATTCTGCGTGGTGGTTTGCATTATGCTGTTAACCTTTACTATAAAATACTAAATCCAGTTTAGACTACTGAATTGGCGTGAGCTCAGCCGTGGCTGTTGGCCTCTGCACAAGGCAGATGGCCCGTGGGAGCGAGGTGTGCCCGGTGACAGGGCTGCGTACCTCCCGGGCAAACGAACAACCTGCTGCGCCAGAGTTTGTTCGGTCAGTTTTGTTGCCTTATGTTTGGCATTATATTTTGAAGTAGTATCACCGGCGCTGCCGTTGGTAAAGAAAGCTTAGAGGTGATGGGTGTGATCACAGCTGAATTTGTGCTGTCGATTGCGACCGAGATGCTGTAACAGCGGACGTGTCTCGCCGAGCTTCACGTTCTTCTGTAGAGTGCCGTGGAATCAGAGGGCTTTTCTGTGGGGCGGCCTGGGAGCGCGGGCACAAAGGTCTGCCTGCGCGGGTCTGGTGGGACGGTTACGGGAAGGTTAAAGTCGACGGTGTGTGTTGTGTCAGAATCAGTCTGCGGTAGTTGCCGTGCTGGTGTGCGCGAAGGCAGTTGCAAAGTCAGCCGTGCCCGTCGTGTTCCCCGTCTTCTCTGCTTAGTCATGCAATCGCAATATTTCCCTAATGTGTTTCTGTAGAAATATTAGTTACATAAGTAGAACATTTAATCTCAGCTTATAAATTAATTCATGTAGCTAGAGTCAAACGGTGTAGTATAATTCGCGTTTGACTTCTGTGACACTGTATATTCTTGCGGAAATAATTTTTATTTTGGTTAGGCCTGAATAATTATTGGGATATAGGTTTAATGAATGCACTTCGTGTCCTTCCATCGCCGGATTGAAAATTCAGCGCTTACCATCGCTCTTGAAGTCATCTTAGCAG